CAGTACTGTGTCAATAAAATTGACTAAATTCATGCAGAGGACTTTGGCCTAAAAATGTACAGGCCAAAAGTATAAGCTCTGAGGTGAGACGACTTTGGCACGACTGAACTGTACTGCTGGGGCCACATGTGACTCCCGGCGTGCTCTGCGTCCTGCTTTCCAGAGCTGTAGAAGGAGGAACCTTTGACGAGACTACCCCTGGGGCGGAGTGGAGAAAGAACATTCCCGGAACTGTCAGGCCAGACGAGGGTTGGGGATAAATGTGAGCCTGGCCGGACACCCTCCGTGCCTGAGATTCCAAATGGATCTGGGGTTGTGTGGATGGAACTCCCTCCCATGAACCGAGAGGCAGCCATATGACATGAAGAGAGGGAGCTCCTGGGCCGTGCAAGGATGAGGCCCGGTCTACTGGGCATAGGGCCATGCAGTCGGGGGAGGCAGACACTCGCCGCCAGGTCATCCCCCTGCCCTCTGCCACTTCCTGGGCACTGGCCTTGAAGTAAGAGGCAGCCGCTGAGGCCTGCCAGCCCTGGGACTCCAGCTTGCATTGGTTAGAGGAGCCTGGGGTTCTGGGAGAGGTCCCCCAACAGGGATATGCACATGGGAGCTGTCAGGAGAAGGAATTCGAAGCCTTGGACAGGATGAGTTCCACCTGGAGTGAGTCGGGCCAGAAGAGAACGGAGGGAGAGCAGGGGCCCCCACCGCGGCATGAAGCGGTCAAGAAGGGAGGAGCAAACGAGGCGGACGAGGCCGAGACAAAAGTCAGCAAGAGCGCTGCTCTGGAAGCTGCTCTGGAAGAGGAGGAAGAGGGCAGGGCAGGGCTGGTCAGCCGGTCAAATGTGGCTGAGAGTGTGAGGAGGAGGACGGCTGAGGAGGAGCCACTGGATTTTGCCATGGGGAGGTCGTGGGGACCCAATTTTATTCCTTGCCACTGGGAGAGCAGCGGGCCCCTTCTTCCTGACAGGTCTTGTGTGTGTGAAGCCATCTGACTCGGAGAGAGGCGTTCCGCGGGGACCTGCCTTCTGGCCACCCCCCACGGCTCTGCGGAGAAGCCCTGGCTGGCAGAGGCGGCGCCATTTTATTGGGGCGTTGGCAGCGCACGGGCCTGGGCCCCCACTCGCTGGCCAGGCTCCCCGCCGGCCCCCGCAGCTCAGAACTCGCAGACCACCAGGCGCGGGTCCCTGCAGACCTTGTCGTTCCACTTGCCGTTGGTAAAGATCTCCACACAGTTCTCCGAGCCGCCATTGTTGTTGGGTTCCCCCGGGGCCCAGTTGGAATAGACCAGGGGCTCCCCGGTGGGGTAGGTGAAATTGCCCTCTGTCTTGATGTCGGTCATGCTCAGGAAAGCAGGCTTGTTCTGAACAGTGGCCAGCTCCTGCAGGGCCTCGTTCTCGGCTGCAGAGCGTGGGGAGGCCATCTGTCCCCCCGCCTGCATACACACCTGCTGCGCGTCCTCAAAAGTCTTTTCAAAACCCGCCGTCTTGAAGATCTTCTCCCCAACAGCTCGGCCGTTGGGGAAGAGCTCCACTAAGAGAAGAAGAGAGTTAGATTGGGGTTATGGCAGCACCTGGCCCCAGCTCAGGGGCTCTGAGACCTTTGTGCTCCAACTGGAGCCCCCCTCCCCCACCCAGGCCTCCCCGGTGGGGTATCAGGGCACCAGATAGGACAAAAGTGAGGCACTTGGTTCCAGAGCAGCCCTGACTGCACAGTGAACGCTGGGAGGAGGTCCTGTGGGCTGCAGTTACAGATGAGGACCCTGGAGCTCAGGGAGGTTAAGCAAGAGGCCCAAAGTCACAGGCCTGCCAAATGTAGGGTGAGGATTAAACCTTGTTTGCTGGGACACTAGAGCTAGAACATGCTCTTCCTACTTCACCCCACGTTGTGTGCTGGGGTCATTGGGGATTGGAATGACTTTGGCCGTGGAGATGTCAATGTGGCGGTTGGGGTAGTTTCTGAGAGTATGAAAATCAGACCCTGCATAAGAGCAGGTCTGTGGGGTTGCTATGTGGTGGGTGGGGGCAAGGGCGGGGGGGCATCCGAAAGCCTCGACGTGCTAATCTCGGCACTCACTGCAGACCCATGTTGGCCCCTTGGTACCCACATGCGTGATGCCCCAGCCAGTCAGCCTCCCCGGGGAGCTGGGGGAGGGGGGTGCAGGCACCTGAGCGGTGCGGTGGCAGGGGGAGGGGACCGGTCCTGGGAGAGCCCTATTTGGGAATCAGAAGCCAGGGGTTCCACCCCAACCTGGCAATGGCTGTCTAGGTGGGCAAAGGAAAGCCACTTCCCTTTTCAGGCCTTCTAATTCCTCATCTCTAAAGTGGGGGCACACTTCATAAAAGCATCACCCATGGGACATATCAAGTATCTCTTTTCAGTCCATCCCATCCGCTTTTGGGCTCAGGCATGGAAATCCTCAGGGCTCCTGAGAGGGCTGCGCCCTGGCCTCCCTGGGCTGGTTAGGCTCAGGCTGCCCCAGCCCCACTGCCCTCCTCTGAGGACCTTCAACACGGACTCGGGGCACAGATGCTCCACAGGCTCAGGATGGCACTTGAAGCAGCCCTGGACGGGGCCCGTGCGGGGGTTCACGTTATGTCCCTGCATCTGGGTGCGTACACACGTGCATACACGAACATGTCCATGTGTTCGTGCGAAGGTACACGGCAGCACCCACCATCCAGATACGTGAGCATACCTACACGTGCATACCTCTGGTTGTGCTCACGAATGTCATGGTGTGGGGTGAGTGAAGGTATTTGAGTACACCCACGTGGCTGGAGCCTATGGACACGTTCCGCTTTGTGTGCAGCAGTGGGCATAGGAGTGAGTGAACGCATGGGCAAATATGTTTGTGGAGCGAGGAAGACATACCCAATACCTGAAACTCTCATCCTTGCTACTTAAGTACTTAGGGGACAACCCTGTGTCTTACCCAGTCAGGCCCCTTTATGCTCTACTCCTTCAGAAAACTGTTCTTTTTTTTTTTTTTTTTGGATCAGGGAGATTGGATGAATGATGTAGACTCAGTGCTGAAGTCAGGGAGAGCAGATGAGGAGCGGGGGCAGTCAAGGACTGAGGTGGAGATTCCAAAGGGCACAGGGCACTCAGGCATGTACTCCTGGGGGCTCCTGCCTCGGCAGCGTTCCAGGGTTAGGGAAGACTCTCTGCTTGAAACACCGGGGGAGGTTCAGGGAGAGTACTGGCTGGAGCCCAGAGGCAGCCAGCCCCCTGTCAGAACCTTGAGCATGTCCAGGGTGAGGTACTTGATTGGCCACACGGCAAGGCCAGGCCCCCACCAGCCTTGAACCCCAAGGGCAGCATCCCAGCCCCGGCTCTCAGGACAGTGTCTGGATTCTCTGCTGCCTTGGGCCGTGAAGCAACGTCTCTGGGCACTCACACACAGGGCCCCACAGATGTTAGGAATACATCTTGGGTTGGGTGTCCGCTGTCTATCACAGGGACCAGCATGGGGTAGGCAGGGTTTAGGGCACTGACTGGGTCACAGGTGGCTGTGATCCTGGGGGCATCCTAGAGCCTGATAACATCTACCATACTTCTGTCACCCCACTGAACTGGCGATAGGGCCACATCCTCCTATATGTCTCTTGTATCTACTTGCAGATCCTGGAGTATGCTCTGTCCCAGCCCTATTCTCAGCCCCAGACCTTGCCCCAGAGCCAGGTCCAGCCCTAAATGTGGTCCCAACCCATTCCAATCCTAGACCCAAACCCAGCCAATGCCAAACCAAGGCCCAGACCCAGTCGGGGGCCTAGCCTTGGTGCCTGGCTCCAGTCAGGCCCAGGAACTTACCTTTCCTATACTGAGAGAAGGCATTCTGGAGGTGTTGGACCTGTCCGAGCAAGGCCTCCACCTGCTGCCTCAGAGCAGTGATGTCTGCCGAAGAGAGAGGCCGAGGGAAGGTAAGCCCAGTGTAGCCTGGGATCAGCTCAGAGCCTAGGCCTCAAGGGAAGGGTGCCCAGTTGCAGGCACATACTTGGGGTGGGCTAAGCTGCTGGGACCAGGTCCTAAGAAGCCCACACCTGCTGACATAACCGACCCCTGTTCCTCCCAGATTTCCCGTGGTTCTGCTATGAACTAAGTGTCCCACAAGCAGGTCCCTGCACCTCACAGACACTGACCGCATGACATTTGAACTCCAAATTCTGGGCATCCCATAGCACCTCTTTTTGGGGGGATAGGAATACTTCCCATCCATTGGGTTATTTGATACTCAAACTATGCTTTGAGTCGGGAAGGGGGCTATGCTTTCCCCAGTGATCAGATGGAAAAGCTGCCCAGGGTTGCCCTCCACTGAGTAAGTCTAAAACCAGAGCCTAATTCTCCTGCCTTCCTGCCTGCTAGCTTTCCTGTTTCCCACCACTCCCCATGATTAATGGGGCCGAAGTCTGAGAGGATAGGCTGTCTTGATAGATAAGAGCACCACCTTCCTCCCCCTGCCCCCACCCTGTGGGAACTCCCAAATCTGGCAGATGCCACCTTACCCGGAAGCCCACTCTCTCCCTTCGCTCCTTTGTTCCCAGGAGCACCTCTGTCCCCCTTCAGTCCCGGGGGCCCTTTGGCACCTGGAGGTCCCGGTGGACCCATGGCTCCAGCAGGTCCTGGGATCACAGAAGAAGAGCTGGGTGAGCTCTGTACACGTTTTCCAGCATTTTCAGCCTCCCAGTACACGGACCATCCAACTGGCCTATGGTCCCCCTTCCCCTATACAGACTGTTCCCAGAACCCAGCCATGCACCCTCTCCTTACGCTGACCATCCCATCACCCAAAGACCCACCTCTCTGGCACCTAGACTAGCCCTGTTGCTCACGTGTCACTCTCCCTCGATGCAGACAGCTCCCAGAGCCCAGCAGTCACCCTCCTTGGCCGTAGACTCTCCCCTCCTGGTCACACCAGCTCTGACGTGATGAGTGGCGGTGGTGGAGAGATGGCCATCGGCAGCACCAGGGGGACACAAGGGAACCGGAGCCCGGCCCTAGCCCCTTCCATCACTCACCTGCTGCCCCAGCACTCCCAGGGGCTCCGTGCTCACCCGGGGCACCTCTCTCTCCTTTAACACCTGTGGGACCTTGTGTCCCCGCAGAGCCCGGCTTGCCGGCCACACCCGCTTCTCCTGAGGAAGGAATCAATTGGGACAAATGTTGCTGAGAGTGTGTTCAGTCCTGGAGTTTTCACCCACCGCTCCAGGGGGAGAGAGCCAACTGGGGAGAAGGTGCCCCTTACGGGGCTTCCTCCAGGGAGGTGAACAGGAAAACGCCACCATTGTGGGAAGGAGGGAAGGAAGGGGGCACGACTTGGCCTACCCAGCACTGACCGTCTGGGCTTTTCCTGGCCCTCCGAGCTTGCTGCCTGAGGTCCCAGCCCGGACTGCCACCATACTCCTCCCCTCTCTCTCCCAGACAAGCCACATACCAACCACCTACCTTTGGGCCCAGCCTCTCCTTTAGGGCCAGGTGGGCCTTGAGGTCCTACGTTCCCCTGCTTCCCTGATGGACCCTCTCTGCCAGCTGAACCAGGCATGCCTCGAGGTCCCGGAGGTCCTGGGGAAAAAGACCACCCTGGTCAGTGGCGCTAAACCTTGTTGGCAGGGAACACATGAAAAGACGAGAGTGGGCGTCTGGGTAGCTCAGTTGGTTGGGCGACTGCCTTCGGCTCAGGTCATGATCCTGGAGTCACAGGATCAAGTCCCGCAT